ACTCAAATCCAAGTTTGGATTGTATTTATGTTTTTCTCTATTTTTGTTTCATTTGTGAAAAACTTCTCCATATCTATGGAGTAGAACCATTTGGGTTTTGATGGATTTGATATATTGATGGTTGTTTGTGGATTATAACTCTATGTTTATGTATTTGAATCATTTTTGGAAGATTTAATTATTGCATCTATATTCACTTGTTCTTGTAATCGAAATAGGCGTAACTTGTGATATATTTGCACTATGTTGTTGGTTGAGTTCATAAATTCTTCTAAGTAATCTAAAGAGTCTAGTTGAATCCTTGATTAAACCTAGTTAGGAGGATAATCGAAAGAGGTTCTCTTAAAGACCAATCTATTACGAATTCTTGCATATCTTCACCGAGCTTAAATTGGTTCATATTGTGAGGTTGAAACTTAATCGAGAGAGGAGTTTCTACTAAATATTTGTACTGATAGTTAAGTGAATTTGAGAGACTCACTTGAACATTAGAAGTAAATTATCTAAAGTTAGATCCTGAATAATTATCTTGCACCTATCCTATCAACCCATATTTTCTCCCATTGATATCTTCCTTGCTTACCTTTGTTGAGATTGTCATTAGTCAATAGTTTAGGTTCTTATTTAGTTTCGATTCTTAATTGTATTAATCTCTATTGTTGATCCTCCTGGATAGTAATCGAGGTACGAACTACGAGAATACTATTTAAATCCAATCTCTGTGGAGAATATAATTATACTATACTATATTTGACTAGCGAGCATAATTTAAGTATGTGTTTTGTACTCGTCACTCGATCACTCAAGAATTCTCGAAGATGACCATTCTTCAATAGCATTGCCACCTCCTCCCGAAGATGTCGGCAGTCCCCTGTCCGGTGGCCGTTCGTCCTGTGGTATTCTCACTATAAATTCGGATCCCTCTGGCTGGAATCGGACCTCATAGGTCTCGGGAATCGTGCTTTTTAAATGTTCCTCATGGTTTACACCAGTTCCATTACACTGACGTTTAATTTATATTATGATAACCTGGGGGTAAGAAAGATCTCGAGACCCCAGCATTTGTTTATCTTGAAGTGATCTATTATTTCGACCATGATCAATACCTCCGTCAACGGTGAACTTGTTTGCTGCTCAGAAATTTCTGCCACGACCTTCAGTGCGATTGTAGGGCAAAATCTGACCCCTCGTGGTCCGCCTATCCGTGTCGTAGTCATCCTTTGATTTTTCTCTATTCTTCTCTCGTCCTTTGGCCGATGATGTAGAGACGTCCTGGTCATCTTTGATCCTTATCTTTGACTCGTACCAGTTGTGAACATCTACCTAGGTTGTTGCTTGAAACTCAAACAGGCTCTCCTTCAGCTTCCGGGAAGCGTCTAAACTTCTCGGATTCAATCCTTTGGTGAATGCTTCAACTGCCCATTCATCCGGGATGACCGGGAGCAACATTCTTTCTTTCTCGAATCGGGTAACAAACTCTCGTAATAATTCTGATTCTCATTGCGTGATTCTGAATATGTAGGCCTTCCGGGCTTGCAACTTTCTGGCCTCGGCATGAGCTTTAATGAAAGAATCCATGAGCATTTCAAAAGAATCTATGAAATGCTCGGGCAGTAATGAATACCACGTTAAGGCTCCCCTCGTGAGAGTTTCGTCGAATTTCTTTAGCAATACAGATTCAATTTCGTGAGGATCTAGATCATTTCTTTTCACTGCCGTTGTGCGGGTGGTAATATGTTTCTGCGGGTCTGAAGTTTCATCATACTTTGGAACTTCAGGTATTTTGAAACGCTTCGGGATTAGTTCTGGTGTCATATTTGTCTTGTACGGTAATTGAACATACTTCTTCGAGTTCGGGCCTTTCAATACTGGTGGTGTGCCCGAGATTTGATCCATGCTGGCGTTTACTTCCCTCATGAATCGTAAAAGCTCATCCTTGAATGAATCGTTCTCGTTGTTAAGACCTGTTCTACTCCCCCCAGCCCCATCGGAGCCAACTTCACCCCTGGGAGTGTTGTTGTCGACTCTCTGCGTTGTTTGGTATGCGTGAACAACGGGAGGAATTGGGTAGCGCTTGTTTGCATTATTTGAAGCACCTGATAGTGCCTGCTTTAGTTCCGTCATAACCTGATCTTGCCGCGTGAGATGGCCTAGGATGATTGCCTTTTGCTTTTGCAGGATCCTCACAGCATCCGCTACTTGTTCCTCGTCAGAATCATCGGGAGTTGTCTCCCGAACCCGTCGAGGGTATCGCCTGTCATGCACCGGTGTGGCATCATTCCCATTATTGCGGGTGTCACTGATCGAATCCTCGAAATGAGGTTGATCCCCTAGAATTGCAAGGTTGCGTGCATCGTTAACAGTGTTATATGCCATTTTTTGTGATTTTTTTAAAGACAAAATAATCAAGACACGTTAGTAAAAAAAGCAAGGATTAATTTAATTGCACGACTATCTAGACCCAACGGTAGGCGCCAAATTATTTACCCGTAAAATGGTACAGTTAAATTTATGTGTGATTTCTAGACAAATGAACTAATTTGATCTTGAAATAATATAATAATCGAAGAAATACACAGTACTTAGCCTTGAAATGTAGATGAAATAGCAAAGATAGTGATTCTGTGAACACGATTTCCGAACACAACAATGATGAGATGAGAAAGCAAGAGAGTAAAATTTTATAAAGCTTTGTATAGAATATAGTATATGTTCTTGCCAGAAAATTCGTGTCGCTTACAATGGTAACTGAGATCACTATTTATAATTATCCCTAGGGAAAATGGTCCTAAGATCATGCCCTCCTTTAATGCCAATTATGAGGGTCATTGATGAAGATATAACGTTGAGTGTAAATGCCAATTTTTTTGTAACGGACCGTCACTCTTAATGCTGTAGAATATTCCTTAGTAAATGCTACCAAACACAGATCATTTAATACACTTTTATGAACGTTATCCATTCCGATGATAAGTGTAATGACTGTTTGGTCTTCAACCATTCCATCTCGGATTTCACGTGTCCTCCTTTTAATCATCTGTGTCATATCATATTTTACCAATACGTATTCATGATTTTGAATTTGCTCGTTGAGGACCATAGAAGTGCTCTGCGTCGCATAGTTGAAGTTCTATCTACTTTGCCTTAAATAATGTCCTGCATATCCTCGAGGAAGAAAAAATAAAAATCCAATCAATGTGGACTGAAAGTCTGAAATAGGAATATTCCTATAAGGGATGGGACACCGGCCCATCTTGAGAAGATTTACAGGTTGTTTGAATTGTGTGTTCATATCATATTACTCTAATATATTGTTGGGGAAGGAAATAAATTGGGTCAATTATGTGGGTTAACCCGTAAAATAAAATAAAATAAAGTTAAAAATGAAGATAAAAAAGACAACAATTGGTAATAGGTGTCATATAAACAAGAGTTGTCTTATTTAAATATGACCACTCTTCCTTTTAACTGCGACTTTCCTTCTGTAAATAACTGAAAAAAGCAACTCTCTTTTTTCTACACCTTTGCGAAAGATTATTGAGAAGAAGATAGCAATAGGCAAAGTAAATTCCGCATCTACTAATTTTGCTTGGGCCATATGACTGAAAACAATTATTTCAGACTTGGTATTTATATCGACATATATAAATTATAAACCATTTATATATATCATAAACTACTTTATCGAGAAATATAATATCTACATTGCAAAAACCCTGGACATGTCACTTCCACTAAAAGATAAAAAAAGTACTGAATTAGTACAAATTTTGTGCCTCTATGTTTTCTTAAATGTAACATGTTGAGAGGGCGAAGGGAGTCTGCAGGTTTACACTTTTGTTTTGCCATGTTCACAAAATCGTACATAAGCTAACAAATTGCATTTTTATTTTCTCTTTCTTAATTCAGTTTGCTCTTTTTCAACTTTGATTAACAATAGAAAAGAAAAAGAAACTGCCATATTTTCTCTATCGTTCGACAACATCCTTTCTATCCCCCTACTCCCTGGCGCTAGCTTCAATGCGCAATGGTGGAGACTATGGTTGGATATTACTCATTTACTAAATTAAGTTTATTTTAAAATATTTAACGATTTAAAAAAAGTTACTTATTACTGTAGTTTTTTTATTCACAATTATCTTTTTTTTTAATTGGCGAAGTATTGACTAAAGGAGATGTTTACTTTAGATAAATAGTCACGTAATTAAGGATATTAAATATATTTTTTAAAGAGTATGCAAAAACCTTTAAAAAAATAGCACGGATACATTACGATGGCCAGTTCTCTTGTTAGGTAGATACGCGGAAGGATCAAAAGAAACATATAAGCAAGCTTGGTTTCTTATTTCCCTTTCTTTTCTTGAATTTCTGAGCATACGTCACACTTTTAAGTAACAAGCTTTGGCAAGTTAGAACGATCTCTTGCTTCACCATCTCACAATTGACTAACAAAATTACTCTGAATAAGGGTGTGTTTGCTATGAGGAATTTTTATTTTTTATTTTTTGAAAAGAAGTGATTTTTTTACTTAATTTTCGATATTTGATTAGGTATCAGAAAATATTTTTGAAAAATATATTATTTAGGCAAACGCTATATGAGACGAAATGAGTAAGGGTGAGGGAGGGTTGTAGGGCAGGGTTTAAGGGCCGGAGTGGCGGTGGCGATGTTTGGTGGTGGAGGAGGGTAAGGGTTGAGTGGTGGGGTGAGAGTAGGAACGAAGAATAGTGCGGGGAAGATTGAGAAAGAATTTTAAAAAATAATTTTTTATTTTTAATAAAGAATTCATTTTCCTGGGAGTAAAATAAATTCACGAGAAAAACACTTTTCAAATATTTGTACTTTATATACAAAGGAAAAAAACTCAAAAAAAGACAAAACTAGATAAATCAATAAAAAAACATCGGTTTATCTTAAAAATCGAAACCAAATAAAAAAGAATGTAGTGTTGTATTATTATGGGAGGAACAGCAGCGGAAAGCCCGAAAAGGAGGGGGCGAAGAAGAAAAAAGGGTGAAAAAAAACAAAAAGTGTGTCCGAAATTTGGCGGAGCGGATTCTCTCTTTTTGTTTTCATGTGACATAAAAGTAAAACACAGTCCGTCCACATGGATTTTTTTCACTATTTCCTGCCCTAAAATAATTAAATTTCCCTGTCACTGCACGCAGTAGCTGCGTCTACGCGGCTGCTCCTCCATCCTCACATTTAATTTTTCCCATTAATGTTCCATTCTCTACAATTTGAAATTTGAAAATGAACATAAAAATAGCTATATGTCAGTGTAGGTATTTACTCATATTTCAGAAGTGAAATTATTGAAAAAAACAATGGGCGGCTACCGAGCTGTTGCTGCCGCAGTCAGCGGCGATTCTTCCAAATCCTCGGCTGAATCTAGCTTCCGGGAACTTGATGATGTCTTTTTGCAGGTCTTTTTCTTTTTTTATTTTCTTTGTGAAATTCAGTTCTCACTTGTCAGTGTGTGTGTGTTGTGTTGATAAGGATGATGTATATTTCAGACTCAAACTAGAATATGGCTTGGGGAAGTTCTGAAGATGAGGTTTGACGAGCACCTACATATTTCTGATTTGCTTGCCGATGGAGATCTTCTGTAAGTTTGACTACTACTTCTAGTTCTTGCACCTTTACACTGTATCATTTCATTTCCCACGTGTTGGCTTAAATTTGATGTTTACTTGTATCCTCTTTGGCTCCGAAGAATATTGTAGCTTACTAGATGGTCAAGGGGATATGACCTTGTATATGTTATGACCTCAATATTTCAATTCAACCAAGCTGGTAATTCCACTTCAATTTAACTAGACCAAAAAGTCGAAATTGCAATGGAATTATGAAAATAACCAGGAAACTGTTTAACGGCTACTACAGTTAAGGAAACTAGATAACAATTACAACTGAAATATCAACTAATCTACTGCGAATCGCAGCTTCAGCTTAACAACTCCAATTCCTCATAACTTCAGTCACCAACATCAACTGCATTCGCTATTCAATAACCCTGCAATAAGAACTTGAGTGAGAAATTAATGGAGAGAAGAAGAATCAAGAAGGGGATGGATTCAGAGAGAAGAGAGAGAGAGGGAGGGCTAAGAGAGAAATGCACGAGGAAAGAGAGTAATTTTACCAGAATTCATTATGCCCGACCCCACATCGATTAGAGTTATTTATATCCTTTCTGAGAGTTGATCTGAGCCGTTGGTTGCAATGAATCCTAGCCATCCATGTCAGATTAACTAATTTTTGAATTATCTGTTAATTTTGTTTAGCTGCTAACCTTTCCAACTGTGTCGTTTCTCTTTTCCTTTCCTTCTCTTTGTTTCACGAATATAACAGTATTAACATTTGGAAGTGATAACCTGTGTAGGTTTGAAGTCTCCAAAGTATTATGGAATATGCTATTGGTTAAGTGTGGCGAGCTAAGACATTTGAAGTATGAACCACTTGGTTCACGGAGATGCAGTGGGAGATATATGCCTTACTCTAATGTTGACTCCTTCTTGAAGGTAAGTCATAGCTGCATTCTAGTCTGATTTGGCTCTATTTCAACAGCCGATAATGCTCTTTAAGAGGGGGAAAAAACCCTTAATGACACCCGACAAAAGGGGATAGCCTTGTAATCCCTTGTTTTGGCAGATCTGCAAAATACTGGGATTAAATGGTATCGATCTCTTCTCCCCATCAGATGTTGTTGAGAAAAAGAACATTCGTAAAGTTTGTATTTGCATAAGGGCACTTTCAAATAAGGCCTGTTCCAAACAATTGAAGGTAAGGATCTTTTCCCAGAGGCTATTCACTTCCTTCTGAAGAAGTTCTGCTTCTTTGTCTAGTTCTTATGTTCTCGGGGTTGCTAGTTATACTTCCTTACTTCTGCTATAAACCTGTTTGTACCCTTAGGTTCCTGACTTTGACTTGGTGACCTATACGGTGGTCATGCCAAAAGATATGGTAGGTGGCATTCGAAGAAGCTTGGAGACATCAAGCAGCCTTTCAAGTTCTTCTGGTTATTACTCGTATAAAGAAACAAGATCAAAACATATGGAGGTAGGTTAAATGCACCATTAGTAGAAACTATTGTACACTATTTTGTTTCTTCTTTTGTTCTCCTTATAACAAAAATGCTTTAACCCTTATATTAGAGATGCTAATATATCCATATGTATGCTATAGAGAAATAAAACCAGAGAATCTGAAGGAAACTATGATTCTTTATCTGAAGAATCTAACGAGGCTGAGAGCAAGTTTGTGGGAGAAGAGTCTTGTTGCTCATCTATGAATCAGCTTGAAGATAATAACGCCACAGATTCAGATGCAGACAATTCTATTGACGAACATTCAGCTGTTAGAAAGAATGGAAGAGAGAAAATTAGTGTACTCTCATGTTCTCATGACCACCATGTTTATAAATGTGATTTCTGCAAGTACGGATCAGAATTATCTAAAACTCTTCCATCTCAGTGTGCTAGGAATGACCGTACAGAAGATAGTTGTTCATCAATTTGCACCAGTTCTCAATCAAGATCACATCATAGAACTTCTCGAGGAAATGGAGGGAAATATAGTACTACCAATGATAGGATACACTTTGATTATAGCGACCTTAACATGGTAAATGATGAGTCAGTTGTTGGAGATTCTATGTATGACAATGACGTGGAAAGTAGTTATATATCTAACTACTTAGCATTCACAGATTCAGTTATTGGTGGAACTGATGGAAGTACTCCTGTACTGCGGAAAGGTGAAGATAATATTTTGAACCTTTTTATGGCTATTGATTCTCATGAACCAAATTTAAGCGAAAGGACTTCCCAAATTGGACTTCAGAATAAATTTTCTGATACTGAAGATGCAGAGGTCTCATCAACCACTAGCATGAGCTCTGTATTATGTCGGGTGCGTGCTTTGGATTTCGATGACCAATTTGATGCAGATGATTGTTTAACAGCAGAAACTCCTTGTGCCATGCTGGAAAATGATGCTGATAGGCAGTATAAGTATGCATCTGCAAGTCATAATGCATTGAATGTTGCAACCAACGAGCTCATGTTTCATGATACTAAAGAACCTTCTATAGTAAAACCTAAAATTTCTGGTAGTCTCACTGAGCTGACATATTCCTGTCCAGATGGATTGCAATTTGCTGCTAGAGAGCCTCTTACTGATAAAATTGTCTCATCGCATGGAAATAACTCAAATTATTTTGATGAAGAAATGGAGGCTGCTAGAAGTAAAAATAAGTTTGTTGATACTGCATGTAGAAATAATCTTAAGAATGTGTCTTTAGTTAACCCTAGTGAAGGATGTGATGGTGATTCACAGTATCTGAAATTTGTTTCTGATGAAGTCAGTAGTACATGTGAACCATCCATGACTCTGGATGGTGTTAACATGGATCAGAATTCTGTTATTTCTGCATATTATTGTGAACATATTGAAAAAGGGTTCCCCTGTTCCTGCTCCCCTGTCTACGATTCAGGAGATGCAAGTGAAGTATGTGAACCAACAGTTCCAGGAGATGATGTAAGTATTCTTCGTCGCAAATTTTCTTGAACTAACTCTTTTAATTTACGATTTCAAGACTTTGCCTTTCAATCGCATTGGTAATTTCTGTTTTATTTTTGTTAAATAGGGTGATACAAAACATAAAGTATCATATGTGTTGGAAGAAAATGCTTCACCGAGGCGGCAAGAAACAGATGCTGGTCAATTAAATGACAAACATCGTCACAGGCCATTGCTGAAAACAGTTGCCAAAGGCACTGCACTTGTTGGTGTATTGTGTCTGTTGCTGCATTTCAGGTTTGTATTTCACTAATTCTTAAGATTCGTGGTCCTATTTCATTTGTTATTTTCTTTCCTCTCTCGATTAGTTGCAATCTTCTCTATTTGGTCAATCACCATAAATCTTGTGCCTTTTACATTGACAGTCGTAGGAGAAACAAACAGGAAAACAGTGAAGCCGGCAGTAGACCAACTCAAAGTAAGAAGTTCCGTGGCAGAGATTTCTCGTATGGGGATGGACAAAATGGACGTCGAGTAGATAAAGTTTATCCTTCAGAAAAACTCAAGTTCAAGAATTAGATTCTGGATCTGTGAGACTTAGTAAGAAGCATGGCTGGTTTTTCATATGTTCAGCCCATCTCATTTTAGTGTAGAATAAGCATGAGGTATGGTTCATACGCTAATAGCACATTGAATGGTAAATTTTAGGTTTCCCTATGCCGCTTAAAGAAGAAAAAAAGAAAAGTAAATAGCTGCTTACTTCCATGAGTTAATGTAATCTTGAAGGAATTAATGGCTACAATCTCTGTAGTAGGCACAAAGCATGTAATGATGGGAAACTAGCATCTTGTACCCATTTTTAATTCGTACGTCACGTAGAATACTATTTATATACTTCATCTTTTTTTTATTATGTCCTCTGAGGAACATTTATTTCTTTTATTTCATACTTTATCTTTTGAATCATGAAAGAAAAAGTTTCTAACAGGACACTTATGAAAAGGGAAAAAAAAGAAAGGAAAAAGATACTGCCCTTCTCCTAAGAAATAAGATCATATTTCCTTAAGATATGCATTTATATCAGAGCCATCGTAATTAGTTGAATCGATCAAAACACTAGGATTGTTTCACGTTGTATATGTATGAATTATGATCCCTTGGAGACCATTGGGGTTGATTTGAGGAGGATTCCAACGAAGGTAGAAGCTGAAAATTTGTAGAAGGCCTCGTCTGCCTGAGGAATGCTGCAAACGCAAACGCCGGAAAACTTGCATGAATCGCGGAGGCGGACTGCATTTCGTGAAAGCGGAATAAGGTTACCCGGAAATTGTAGAACTCAAATTGACTTCAATTATTACACAGGTATTCTGCACTACTGAAAATTTTTGCATTCGGTGATTGTACTTAAAGTTGTGTTGCTGAAGTTTGAGAAATTTGAACCAAAAAGCTTTGCTAAAACTTAGTTGCAGCTATCGTCTAATACCTAACACTGATTTGAACAAAGATCAAATTTCCCAAGCTTTTAAAATTAATTGTGTTCAGCTGGTTCTAGTCGAACTAATTGGTATTGGTTGTAGTAGTTTTGTTTCTAGAGTGTGGAAATTGATTTGAAAAGTTCAGCTGGGGACTGTTTAAAGCTGGATTAAGATCAGAAAAACCAGCTGAAGTTGGCGAGGTGCTGAAGAAGGGACTATTCTGCAAAGGCGATACTCATTCTTAAGTTTCCATTTCTTTTTTCAGTTTTCTTTAACAGAAGTTCAATACAGTTTCATTCTTTAGTTTTTGCAGAAATTGCAGATTGCAATTTTTTGGTCCAGATTTTGCCCAGTTTAATTTTTGAGAACCTGCTGCTGTTTCTTAGCTGAAATCTGTTGAATAACTTGAAATCTGAGTTTTAAACTGAATTCTTCTTTGTTAGCTGCTGTTAGAATCGAATTAGCTGTTAGAAGATTCAATTCAGGGTTTGAGGATTTGTTCCAAAATTCTGGTATTCTGAGTATCCGATTTGAGTTTGTATTTTGGAAACTTGAATTTGAAGTTTCGATTTTTTTATTGAAAGGGTTTGTGATTGAATTCGGTATCTGCTGTGTAATATACTAGTATTGTTTGGACGAGAATCAGTTCTGAAGGTTTGAAACTGTTTACAGTGTATTGAAACCAAAGTTCACCAAAGTGGGTGGGAAATATCATCTGAATTTCAATTCCTTTTTACTAAAGTCTTTTTGGAATGAAGGATATTTGTAGTTGTAAAAAAGCAACTTGATTTTTCGGGGAATTGGGACAGTCTGGTGTGAATTGAATCAACTTGGGTCAAATTTGAGCTGCAAAATCTGCAGCAAAACAGCAACTCAAGAAGCTATCCCGAAAATTTCAGACTTCCATCGACTTCCATGCAGAGCTGATCTCAGCACTGATTTATGAATTCTGCACAGTCCAGTTTCGCACAGTTATTTCTGCATAGTCCAGTTTCTGCACTGTCAAAAATTCTGCAGTTTGGTTCAGTTGGGGTTACGCCAAACTGATTTGGAAATTGGTTGTGACAGGAAGTTGTCGAAGTTATTCTTTGATGACTCTTACAGTTTAAGTTCGTATGTACACACTGCTTGAGGACTGTTCGAATTCTGGAACAGGAGAACACCTGCAGATTTGAAAGAACTTGATCTTCTGGTATCATTGGAAGTTTTGGAGCTGTTTTGAAGAAGGCTTTGGAGCAGATTGTAGCAGTTTCAGTTGGAATAAAAAAGTTCGACATAGCCTTTTCATTACTGTCCAGTTTTAACAACCTGCCACTGTGATTAGGAGTCTTATTTTTTGCATCAATTCTGAAGTTGTACTTTTCATTCCCTGGTGAATGTAACAGAAGAAATTTCCAGAAAAGTGTCCAGTTTCTTTAATTAGTGTAACTGTTTTCTTCTAATGTTTCACATCTAAACTAGATAAACTTGATTATTGTTCTTATTAAATAATATTAATCTAGTTTCTTGTGTGCTTTACTTTCAGTTCGTGCTAATTTTTTCACGCTTCTTTCTTTTGTTTTATTGTATGTTGATTTGATTCATAGTCCGTTAGCTTAGTTAACCTTCTTTGATAATGACATAAACTCCACTGCAAACCGAAACTTGGTTACCTATTGATTTGAGAAGTTGGTTTGTGTAGAGAATTGTTAACAACCCTTGTGAGAGAAAATGCTGAAGTGATAAGTTCAATTGCACGAGGTAACAAAAGCCTTTGACCTTTGAGTGTAAATATGAGCGTTAAATGACACTTTGAGTGATACACTAAGGGAATGACTTCCTTAAATCGAAGTCATTATTAGTATTGTTTTCCAAAATTACATTGTTTTTCTTAATGGAAGCTCACTAATCATCATAAATCACATCTCTAAGTTTAGGTTTCACATATTTTAAAATTGCCTTATTGTTTCAATCAGTAAAGTATTGACCAAATGTGATGGTTAAGGAAAGATAAAGGATACTTTAGACAAATGGTCATATAGTAATTAAGAATATTAAATACTTTTATTAAAGGGTATGCTAGAACCTTAAAAAAAGAAGATAATATGAACTACGACGGCCCGTTCTTTCATTAGACAGATACGTTGAAGGATCAACTGAAACTTGGTTTCTTATTCCCTTTCCTTTCTTGAATTTCTGAGTATACGTCAACCACTTTTAAGTAACAAGCTTTGGCAAGTTGAAAGACCTCTCACTTCACCATCTCACAATTGAATAACAACGTTCCCCGAATAAAATTAAACCAGGAATTTAAAAATAAAAAAAGAATTAACAGTTCCACAAGATTAGGAAGGAAAAGAAGATAATAGTTCTTCAATGTTTGATGTGGTTGGAGCTAAAAGGTCGTCCCCAATAAGCGGGCTTGTTTCTTGATCCCAAATTATATAGCTTGGATAAAATTGTTGCGTTTCCACGCCCCATTCATTTAGTTGATTTCTTCCCATCTGCCCTGACACGTCTAACATGTTGTTAGTACGACAAGCTGAAGGTATTCCCATTTGTGGATCCATGCTCTCTATCAATGGAGGCAAATAATTTGAATTCGTTTGAGCTTCATGGTTTTGTTGTTCATGAGTTTGCCCGAATTCGGAGTACAAAGACAATGTGTCTTGGAACAACGAGCTGGTACTAGTAGTGTCGAAAACGAATGAATTTGGTGAATAACATAGGGATTCTTGTAGGACTTGGGGCTTTGTTCCAAAATCTTGACTACTGAAGATTTGGTGCTGCTGATTTGTTATGTTATAAGCAAATTGGGACTGGTTCTTATCACAGGAAGTAGTTGTCTTTGTTGAATGTGGAGAAGGCTTTTTTAACTTCTTTTTTATCCAAGAATTCCAATAATTTTTTATCTCATTATCTGTCCTTCCAGGTAAGTGACTTGCTATATGAGCCCATCTGCAATTAGTCCACGTTAAAAAACTGAAATATGAGAAAGGATAGAAAGTAAAAAGGAAAAAGAATGTAATTCTTTTAAGTATACTATTTAATTACCGGACTTGCAATGAGTTCAGTATAATCCAACTTTTCTATAACAACCGCGTTTGTTTAGATATTTTTTGATTGCTATAGTAAAGTGCTGTTATAGAAAACATATATTATAACATAACATGAACAATTGGTTCCAAAGAAAATTTGGCCGTTATACTCCCTTCGTTTCAATTTATGTGAACCCATTTGACTGGGCACGGAGTTTAAGAAAAGAGAGAAGACTTTTGAACTTGTTGTGTAAAATGAGGCAAATATATTTTGTGTGACTATAAATCATTGCATAAATGTAAATCGTTTCCAAATAAGTAAATTGATCATTCTTTTTGGCACGGACTAAAAAGGAAATAGATTCACATAAATTGAAACGGAGGAAGTAGTAATTAAAATGCTGTTATAAAGGATATAGAGAGGACTGACGGTGTAATTCCAAAAAAAATAAAAAATGGAGAGCAACAGTAGCTGTTTAATTTAGTATTAAAATCAACACGAAAGCATATGATCAAATTTCCTTAACGTCTTCGAAAAGAGATTAGTAAGCTGACAATGCCTCCTGTAGAAAGTACTTTGATAATGAAATTGTCTGGACTAGTTTTGTGTGAGCTATACGCTATCGATAATAAGTTACGTGATATCTTAGATATATTGAGACTTGCTTAGAAAGTGAAACCGAAATTAGAAATGGGAAAAAGAAACGTTGAAGGGTATTGCTAGCTACATGTTGCTTGGAAATGAATATACTTGGAATTCATTTTTGCATATGCATACCAAAAGTTTCTTTCAAAATATTGACGACTAAAATTATAATTATGCATTTGGCTGTCCAACGAAGAAGAAGATGAAAATGTTGGCTAGCATAGCACATGATACCGAGCTATCCTACAAATATTTAGAGTTTTACACTTTTGTATTCTTACATTCTTTTGGAATCGACCAGTTATACTTGCCTTACATCACACTCCTTGGGTGCAACTCTACGTAAACGCAGGATATTTCGTGTACCAGACTGTCCTTTTAATTCGGGGTCAGCAGGTAGAAGGATCCCTTTTCATCTTAGGAACATAAGGAAATGCATAGTATATCGAATATGGCTTGACGGAGGATTCAAGAATAGGGTAGGGTCCTGTCTTAAGATTCAGATAAAGCGAATTCACACTTTTATACATGAACCTCCGTATAAGTACTTAGTGCATACAAGTTCCTACTAAGATGATTTACGAAGTGGTTTCAGCGTTAGAGCCTCCAGAAAAAGAAACAAGTTAAAAAGTTAAGCTACTATACCTGTTTCCCACAGCTGCATGAAGATCGATAATCAACTTTTCTTCATCTGGAGTAAATCTTCCCCTTCTTATATCAGGCCTCAAATAGTTGATCCACCTCAACCGACAGCTCTTCCCACACCTTTGTACCCCTATATCCAAAACCACCAAATTATGAACTTTCAGTCCAGCAATGTGCATGGTTTTTTCTACTATATGGAAATTCATGATATCTCAAAAATAAGAGTAATTTCATATTCCACTCAATATGGATTTGCATAAATGTCATTTAAAGGGGACAAAGATCACTTTTAGCCCGTGGCCGAAACTATTGCCGTTTGGTAGCTAAAAAATGCAAAAATCTGTATATAACATACACAAATATATATAATATTTTTTCGGCTATTATTTTAAGAGCGCCTATACAATATTATTTTGGAGCGACAAAAGTTTTTTTGAGAATTCAAGAGAAGGTCACGGCGAGACGAGCCGTTTATCATTACGATAGGTGTCTAAGGGGAAGTGGTGTGTTAAGAAGTAAGAAGAAAAGAAGACCAGCTTTGTCAGGGACTTCACTCCAACAGCCATAGCTATGAGTGGTAATGTATGTGATCAGCTTTTCATCTTCTTCAGGAGACCAAAGCCCTCTCTTAACCTTTTGCTGGTTGCAGCATGTATGCTGCCCCATTTTTTGATGGATACAGTGAAATTAATCCTTATTCCGCGCTCCCTCTCACTTCTAGTATTTGTTTTCTTGCTGTCTCTTGTGATATGGTAAAAGCAAATTATTTTTGCCTCCCTACCTTTAAATACTCCATGAAATTAAAGGATTTTACAAAGCTGTAAGCCGACAATTAGAATTGTCGATATGGCCCCTTGTTTCCCCATCTAACCCTGAAATGACGTTCCATCAACTTCCTATATATATNTCCTTTTTCCCTGTATACGGTAAAAATCGGTTAGTCTTTCATATGAACTGGTCGAAATGGTAATGCATTGGATCGGAGAAGCATTTTCATAATATCAGGTTGAGGTCCGAAGTCAGGTCACCAAGCTTCGAGCCTTAGGGACCGATTAATGTCGAGCTCGATATCATTATTGAGCTCGAATCCAAATCAATACTGACCAACCAACACTGACCCCGAATCAATATAAGGATCCGAGTCAGAATCGAGCTCGAGTCAAGATCGAGAGCTCGAGCCGATACCAAGCTCGAGTCAATATTGAGCTCATAGACAAGAGCCGTTGCAATCCTACTAGAGGAGAAAATCATGGCAGAAATTATGGAAAAACTGATTCATCATGGGTCTCCCACTATGTATTTTTAATTATATCTAAAGTAGGATCCCTCAACTATATAGGGGATCGATGCCACGGCCGGCCACGAGATCCTTACTTTTCTCGATGCCTATTCCGGGTACAATCAAATCCAAATGAACCCGGAGGACCGAGAAAAGACTTCGTTTATCACCAAGTATGGAACCTATTGTTATAATGTAATGCCCTTCGGGCTAAAAAATACAGGAGCTACTTACCAACGCCTAGTAAATAAAATATTCGAGGAACAAATAGGTAAATCAATGGAAGTTTATATTGATGACATGCTAGTAAAGTCCCTGCGCGCAGAGGAACATTTGTCTCATTTACAGGAAACATTCAAGATTTTAAAGAAATACAACATGAAGCTCAACCCCGAGAAATGTGCTTTCGGGATCGGATCGGGCAAGTTTCTTGGCTTCATGGCATTGAATCGAGGGATCGAGATCAACCCCAATAAAATTAAGGCCATCGAAAACATCACCATCGTGGATAGTGTAAAAGCCGTGCAGAGGCTAACGAGACGGATTGCTACCTTAGGCCGATTTATTTCAAGGTCGTCAGATCGAAGTCACAGATTTTTCTCTCTGCTCAGAAAGAAGAACGATTTCACCTGGACCCCGGAATGTCAACATGCATTAGAGGAATTGAAACGATACCTATCGAGCCCACCACTACTGCACACTCCAAAGGCTGACAAGAAAATTTGCTTGTACTTGGCAGTATCGGAAATCGCGGTAAGCGGTGTCCTAGTTCGAGAAGAGCAAGGTACGCAATTTTCCGTTTATTATGTAAGTCGAACCTTAGGGGAAGCAGAAACTAGATATCCACACTTAGAGAAATTGGCACTGGCACTGATAAGCGCCTCTAGAAAGTTAAGACCATACTTTCAATGCCACCCCATATGTGTATTAACCACTTATCCATTTCGTAATATTTTACACAAGCCCGAACTATCAGGTCGATTGGCCAAATGGGCCTTCAAACTCAGTGGGTACGATATAGAATATCAACCCCGGACGGCCATCAAGTCTTAAATTTTAGCGGACTTCGTGGCCGATTTCACGCCAACCCTCGTACCCGAAGTCGAAAAAGAACTCTTGTTGAAATCGAGTACGTCATCGGGGGTATGAACCCTTTTCACAGACGGGGCTTCAAACCTGAAAGGGTCCGGGCTAGGCATCGTTTTAAAGCCGCCTACGAGTAGCACTATTATGCAATCTATCAAAACTACTAGGTTGACTAACAACGAGGCCGAGTATGAGGCCATGATTGTAGGTCTCGAGTTAGCTAAAAGCTTGGGAGCAGTGGTCACTGAAGCCAAGTATGACTCTTTACTGGTGGTAAATCAAGTAAAAAAACCTTCGAAGTTGGAGAGGATAGAGTGCAAAGGTATTTAGACAAACTCCAGGTAACTTTGCACCATTTCAAAGAATGGACTTTACAGCATATACCTTGAGAACAAAACAATGAGGCTGATACACTTGTAAATTTGGGATCATCGGTCGAGGAAGATGAGATCAGCTCGGGGACTGTCGTTCAACTCTCGAGGTCCATGATCGAAGAAGGCCATGCCGAGATAAATTCTACAAGCTTAACCTGGGATTGGAGGAATAAGTATATTGAATACTTGAAGAACGGAAAACTCCCATCGGACCCTAAATATTTGAGGGCCCTGCGAACCAAAGCTGCTCGATTCACATTGAATGCAGATGGAACATTATACCGAAGGACATTCGATGGACCATTGGCAGTATGTTTAGGTCCAGGAGACACCGACTACATCCTACATAAGATTCACGATGGTACTTGTGGAAATCATTCCAGTGCCGATTCATTAGTCTGAAAAATAATCAGAGCAGGATATTATTGGATCGATATGGAAAAAGATGCAAAGGAGTTTGTTTGAAAATGTGACAAATGTCAAAAGTTTGCACCGATGATCCATCAGCCCGGAAAATAACTTCACTCAGTTCTATCTCCATGGCCATTCATGAAATGGGGAATGGACATCGTTGGCCCTCTGTCATCGGCCCCAGGTAAAGCTAAGTTCATTTTATTTATGACTGACTATTTTTCTAAATGGGTTGAAGCACAGGCGTTCGAGAAAGTGAGAGAGAAAGAGGTTATAGACTTCATCTGGGATCATATCGTATGTCGATTTGGGATACTCGCCGAAATAGTGTGTGACAATGGGAAATAATTTATCGGCAACAAAGTGACGAAGTTCCTCGAAGACCACAAAATAAAAAGGATATTATCAGCACCGTATCACCCTAGTGGGAACGGACAGGCCGAATCGACGAACAGGACTATCATTCAAAACCTAAAGAAAAGGTTGAACGGCGCTAAGGGAAAATGGAGAGAGATCCTGCCCGAAGTTCTTTCGGCATATCGAACAACATCAAAATCTAATACAGGGGCAACCCCGTTCTCCTTAGTATATGGCTCCGAAGCCTTGATCCCAATCGAAGTCCGGGAACCCAGTGCCAGGTATCGATATACAACAGAAGAATCAAATCATGAGGCTATGAATACTAGCCTCGAATTATTGGACGAAAAATGAGAAGCCGCCCTTATCCAATTGGCCGCCCAAAAGCAGCGGATCCAAAGATACTATAATCAAAGAACCAATTTTCGCCATTTTAACATCGGGGACTTAGTGCTAAGGAAAGTCACCTTCAGCACCCGAAATCCAAACGAAGGAAAACTGGGTCCGAATTGGGAAGGACCGTATCCAGTACTCGAAAACGTCAGTAAAGGATCCTACAAACTCAGTATAATAAACGGCGAACAACTACCAAGCAATTGGAACGTGTCACACCTAAAACGATACTACTGCTAAGGTACGACCCTCCCATATTCGTTTATATTTTGAAACTAACCCTTGCAATATTTCAATCAAAGAACAAGGATGGTTCATTCAACACGAAGCCTTAGGTCTGAAAGCACGCGTTGCATTCTTTTTCCCTTAGACCGGTTTTATCCCAAATGGATTTTTCGGCAAGGTTTTTAATGAGGCAACCATTGATCGTGCTAACTTAGAATGATTTAACAATATCTGAGGCCTCTTTACAATCAACCACAAATACTGGTGGGGCATTACCCTCAAATATATTAAGTTTGATGTAAGAAATTTACTTCATAACAACAGGGTTCCGATAGGAAAATTTGTAAGAGCCAAATGGTCAAAACGAACCATGCTCATGTAGATTGCTCGATCCCTGGTGTAAAATATAAACACATGTATAACACTATGAAAAGAAAATTCTTTGCCCATATCTCATGCTAAGGTACGACCCTCCCATATTCGTTTATATTTCGAAACTAACCCTTGCAAGATTTCAATCAAAGAACAAGGATGGTTCATTCAACACGAAGCCTTAGGTCTGAAAGCACGCGTTGCACTCTTTTTCCCTTAGACCGGTTTTATCCCAAATGGGTTTTTCGGCAAGGTTTTTAATGAGGCAACCATTGATCGTGCTAACTTAGAACGATTTAACAATATCCGAGGCCTCTTTACAATCAACCTCAAATACTGGTGGGGCATTACCCTCAAATATATCAAGTTTGATGTAAGAAAGTTACTTCATAACAACAGGGTTCCGAAAGGAAAAATTGTAAGAGCCAAATGGTCAAAACGAACCATGCTCATGTAGATTGCTCGATCCCTGGTGTAAAATATAAACACATGTATAACACTATGAAAAGAAAATTCTTTGCCCATATCTCATGCTGTCCTCTATTTCATGATCTATTACGCAAACATGCTCAAGGGCCGACGACTAATAAGCCTACGGGCTACATCATCTCGAATTTGAGCAATCACTCACTTGACTAATAAGCCTACGGGCTATATCATCTCGAGTTTGAGCAAACACTCGCTCGACCATTAAGCCTACAGGCTACATTACTTCGAGTTCGAATCACTCACTCGACTAAAAAGCCTACGGGCTACATCATCTCGAGTTTGAACAAACACTCACTCGGCCATTAAGCCTACGGGCTATATTACTTCGAGTTCGAATCACTCACTTGACCATTAAGCCTACGGGCTATATTACTTCAAGTTCAAATCACTCACTCGACTAAAACGCCTACGAGCTACATCATCTCGAGTTTGAGAAAACACTCACTCGACCATTAAGCCTACGTGCTACATTACTTCGAGTTCGAATCACCCACTCGACCATTAAGCCTATGGGCTACATTACTTCGAGTTCAAATCACTCACTCGACTAATAAGCCTACGGGCTACATCATCTCGAGTTTGAGCAAACACTCACTCGACCATTAAGCCTACGGGCTACATTACTTCGAGTTCGAATCACTCAATCGACAAAAAAGCCTACGGGCTACATCATCTCGAGTTTGAGCAAACACTCAAGCCTACGGGCTACAATATTTCGAGTTCGAATCGCTCACTCGACTAAAAAGCCTA